TTTCGAATCATTGTGGGCTAGAGCGCAGAAGAGAATCTGTTTTGACAGTGGGAAGCATAGTTTTTGAAGGCCCAGTTCACGATAAGAATGGCTTCTGGGATTTTCCCATTGGTTGAATTCGAGGCTCCCACCCCCTGATGGTGTCGATGCAAGGTCGAAAAACGTAATGGACAGTGCCCATTAAAGGGCCAGACACTGTATCGTATGTATGCCAACCCTCCTTCAGGCTATTTGTGAATCTATTCGCCGGGGACCAGGTTTACACTGGAGCAGAGCAACTTTGGTGAAAAAGAAATCGACTGAGCGACCGGGCCTGACTAATACTTATCTCCGACCATTTGTATATTCTGTTACTGTTACTCACTTCTATTCGAAAGAAACTATGTAGTCGCTGCTATCGCTGGTGGGATCTGGTAAGTATGTTACGTATTTGAATTCATATAGTATTTTTTGCATGATGTTTTGGTCCACTTGTGATAATTTATTTTTATAATTTTTTATTTGCACAATCCTTGGTTCACTTTTAATTTTAACATTCATGATAGATTACAAAGACATTCTTCAAAGGCTTACCAAAGTTTGTGAGATGTTTTCGAGAGGTGAAGAATAATAAATGATGTTAGTGGATGTAATTGGGCAGGTTTTATGCACATAGACAAAGTTATTCGCACTGTCCGGTGATCCCTCCCGCACTGCATCCGAAAAGAGTCGACACACGCGAACGTGCTTTAAATTCTCGCAGAACATGATCTCTTTCACTACCGTTTGGAGCTCTCCAGGTCCGTTTTCCTTCAAGACTTTTATTGGAAAATGTATAACGTAATGTATAACGTAAATGCAAAATGTAATATACAATGTACGTGTATGTGTATAATGTATAACAAGATTATTGGAGTCGCAGAATGAAAGCAGCGAAATACGTCGAGATCATTGCCCAGAGCGGCGATGAGTTTTGATTTTGAGGGAGACCCCGAATGCCCCCCGCGTACATATCAGCCACTCGGGGGCACGCTCTGGCTGAGCCGATATGCAGGATACCAACCACAACCGAAGAGTGTATAAGCTCTGTGCGCCGATACACTTGCGAAGATACAGGACGTATTGGCACAGCACAGCAGGATCACATTGCTAAAAATATTATATAAAATAAGTTTTAAACAATGGACATTTCACCAAATTCATTACGTTCTGAAGCTCGAGCTTGTCTTGAATTGTAAGAACTTGAAACCGTGATGAAATAAGAACAAATCATTACGCGCACTGATGTTCATTTCCACACGGCAGAAGTACACACATACATGTAATGAAACTTGCCACAAAATGCTTGCACATCAACAACAGTTGGGAACCACCTTTTGAGACCATTTTGCCATTACTACGCTTGTTGCTGGAATTAAATATTCCACTGGGGGATGCCGCAAAATCAGTTCATCTTAAGATAAGGATTTTTCTAGTCTCTACAATCGTCGATAAAAGTTCAAGATGTAGGCATTTTGTACAAATTTTTGCTTTGAATCGTTTGGTAACCAAGAAATCAAGAAAGATGAGTATTCATTCCTTCCGTGATTTAAAGCAGGCTTCCACCAACCTGCTTAGCATGTTCACAGAAGGATCTAAACACATGAGGAAAGATGTTCCTAATTGAATTAACTTCAAAATCGCTTTTTTCGTTGTTAGGCCTTTTGAAACTCAAATGAGTACCAACAGAGTGATACACGTTCGTGCACAACTTAGAATATTCTGAATAACAACAAATGAAAACACGTTTATTGAAGTCGAGCTATAAAATTAGCAGAAGTTGCATGACTTTCCGCACATTCTCATCCTGATTTTCAATGGGGTTGAGCTCATGTCGCAAAAGCCAGATCTCACGAGGGAAGAACAAATACTAAAAATGTAGCAGTAGTGTTTGCTGATTTTCAATAAGTTACTAAGGTTACGCACCTGCTTTCGTCCGTGCATTGGAGACCTGAGACACCGATAAGAGGATTCTTGCTGGCCGTAGGGGGGAGTGGAGGAGTCACAGTCGACCCTTTCGGGACTGAATTGTTTCGGTTTGAATATACTAGTTTAAAGTTGTACGTAAGAAAG